TCCAATTTATGTGATTTAACTAATAGTCAATTTTCAACAAATACTACTCAAAACAACGACCAAACGAATGAACCGTTTGGAACAGACTTTAGTCCTAATGATCAGATGAGCAATAATTTAGTGGTAAATGGTTTTCAAAAACTACCCAATAATATGAAGATTGAAACTCTGGGCTCTAGTCTGGGATCTCAGATAAATAGAGGCATTTTGAGTGGAGATGTCGGGCCTGTCATTAAGGACTGCATTCAAAACAACAATTGGACCGAAGCTATACTTATGTGTTGTTTCGTATGTCCAGAACACACGGCTTCGACGCTTCGACAATACTTTGATTACTGTCTTTCGTCGAACACCGACTCGTGGTCTCCATTGCTTTGGTCTATAATAACCGCTCAAACGACTGCCGACGAAGAAGCGGTTCACGTGTTTGAGGAACTAATAGCTAAGTTTGAGCTGAAATATTGGCCCCAAGTTTTGGCATTTATTATAAAAGAATCTGAGAATTGGGAGGATATGAACACTAAATCATTTTTAATCGACAATTTGGCCAAACGTTTGATCGATAGTTATGTTGACTCCGGTTCTAAGCATTGGTTAAACGCTGGGATGTATTGTTTTATAATAAACGGCGATTATAACAATGTGTCCAAATTTGTGCCTTTCGGCAGTCATTTGGATCGAATTGAATTGTCTCTCATTCTCCAGAAGTCAACGAATGCAGAGTTCAGAACCAATCAATTGACCGCTCATTACGCAAAGCTATTGGCCATTGAAGGCAGGCTTGAATTGGCCCTTAAGTACATCGGCGACAATGATCTCGAACTCAGGGATAGAATTATGAATAATATCAGACCGAATGCCACCAGACTTTCCACACAAACTAATGTCTCTCGAGTTAACACTAAACCAATACAACAGCCTTACAACAGAGCGTTTCCAAATAATGCACCCACTTATCCAACTGCGGCCACACCTCTGTCCGCACCCGTCCAATACACTACTCCCTATGGAATGGCACCCAATTCTATGCCTTATCCTCAGTCATCACTACCGCCGGTCCCTCAATCGCCTCTACAACGAGCACCGCCTATGGCTCCGGGCGTTGCGCCACAAATGGTGCCGAATATGCATTCTGTGCCTCATATGTACGGCCAGTCGACACAGCAAAACATGATTCCTTCTGCACCCGATTCCTATAGGGCTCACAATTACAACGAACAGCAGTTTATGCCACAGGATGTGACTCCCGGTTGGAATGACCCGCCGGTGCCGACCAAATCCAGACACAATTCATTCAGTGCCGCCTTCAATGAGAATCACTCGCATGTCTCGAATCCAATGCCGACCAATACTATATCAACGCCTTTACCAGTAATTGAAACCCAAAGAGTTTTGCAAAACGCTAATCAAAGAAGTGAACCGATGGCCGCACCTCAACAGCCATTGTCGCCACAGAACCAACAAATATTGGATTCGTTTGACAGACTTCTCTCCCATTTGCAACTCAGTCCTCATTCGCAGGCTTTGAATATTCGCCGAAAATTAGACGATTCGAGACTCAAATTGGAGACATTGAAGTCGAAATTGGGTCCAAACTCTCAGCTCTCCGGTAACGCAGTGTTAGGGTTGAGCCAAATCGCCAGTGCTATCGATCGCAACGATTTTCACTCAGCGCTTGACTGTCACACAAATCTGGTGGCGACGACCACTTTCGGCGAAACCGCTGCCTTTTTGCCCGCCATTAAAGTTATCCTACATTTGGCTCAACAAAGAATCCACACATGAATGCCATTCAATTCATAAAAGTTTTATTACTTAAACCGGATTTTAATATAAAAATACAAATATTGGATTTAATTGAAGATAATTTGCTGTTTTGAACACTTCTCGAGTTCTAGCACTAGATTTGAGACCATTTGATGTGTTTTATAAGATTCTATATTTACCAACAAGTGATAGATTTGTCTCTTTGTTCGCTCGAAATCCTATATATTTGATAAACAAATAAATATAATTTATGTTTCACTGCTTAATAGAGAGTGTGTTAATGTTCCCAAACCTCAATCAAAGCGGTCAACAAATCTTCAGAGTCTGAACATGTCTTCAATCGATTACAAAACGAAAAGATTTGTTCCAAACATTTGTTGATCTTTTTAAGCAAAACAATCGCATAAAAGCTTATAAATAAATAAAACTAATGAATTTATTGTCGCTAAAGCTTACGACTGCTGTCTTGAGAAACATTTGTCCGATAATATCACTCAATAAAATTTGATGTTCTTTTTGAATCTCTTCCACATCTCGTGTTCTCTCGATTTTATCCATAAACTTCATAAAAAGCCTTTCGATTACATCCGTCTGTGAATTATAGCGCACATGAATTGTACTTAATTGTAGTCTATATATAACTAATTAATACTAACCTTAAAATAATAGTAGAAAGCATTTACAATATACGATAGCGAATGTCTTAAAGTCATTGCCATAACGTTAAGACTCGACCCTTTAATTGCATTCTCTTTGCATTTCATTGGTTTGAACCAAATTTGATTCAAACGGATTCGTGACATATAAAGCGTTAGCAGAAAATTCATTATTTTGTTGTATCTGTT